CAGATGTTAACTCTTCTCTAAATGTTTGATAGAAATTTGGCTGAGAAGACATCTGGTCCTGGACTTTGGTTTGTTGAGAGTTTTTTAATCACAATTTCAATTTCAGTACTTGAGATCGATCTGTTCATACTTCTATTTTTCCTGGTTCAGCCTTGGGAGATTGTACCTTTCTAAGAATTTGTCCATTTTTTTCTAATTATATGCTTCAACCAAAAGACATTTTATTGGCATATTGTTTATAATAGTCTCTTATGATTCTTTGTATTTCTGTGGTGTCTGTTATAACGTCCTTTTTCATTTCTAATGTTATTGATTTGAGCCCTCTCCCTTTTTAGCTTTATGAGTCTGGCTAAAGGTTTATCTATTTTATCTTTTCAAAGAACCAGCTTTTCATTTTATTGATTTTTCTTATTGTTTTCTTTGGCTCTATTTCATTCACTTCTACTCTAATCTTTATGATTCCTTTCCTTCTACCTAACTCTGAGTTTTGTTTGTTCTTCTTTCTGTAGTTGCTTTAGCTGTAGGTTTTTTACCTGAGATATTTCTTATCTCCAAAGGTAAAGTTGTATTGATATAAACTTCCCTCTTAGAACTACTTTTGCTGTGTCCCATAGGTTTTGGATTGTTGTGTTTTCATTTTCATTTGTCTCTTGTATTTTTTATTTCCTCTTTGATTTCTTCAGTGATCTGTTGGTTGTTTGGTAACATACTATTCAGCCTTCATGTTTGTTTTGTTTTGCTTTTTACAATATTTTTTCTTGCAGTTGACTTCCAATCTCATAGCATTGTGGCCAGAAAAGATACTTGATATGATTTTAGTTTTCTTAAATTTGCTGAGGCTTGGTTTGTAGCCCAGCAGGTGATCAATCATAGAGAATGTTCCATGTGCACTTGTAAAGAATGTGTATTCTGTGCTTTCTGATGAAATCCTTTATAAATATCAATTTAGTTGTTCTGGTATAATGTGTCATTTAAGGCCTGTGGTTATTTTAATTGATTTTCTGTCTGAATGATCTGTCCTTTGATGAAAGTGGGGTGTTAAAATCCCCCACTATTATTGTGTTACTGTTGATTTCTCGTTTTATAGCTGTTAGCCTTTGCCTTGTATTTTGAAATCCTCCTATGTTGGGTGTATGTGCTGCGCTTAGACATTCAGTCATGTCTGACTCTTGGCACCCCCATGGACTGAGCTCACCAGGCTCCTCTATCCATAAGGATTCTTCAGGCAAGAAGCTGGAGTGGGTTGCCTTGTCCTCCTCCAAGGTATTTTACCAACCCAGGGGTCGAACCCAGGTCTCCTGCATTGCCCATGGATTCTTTATCACCTATGCCACCAGGGAAGCCCATGTTGGGTGCCACATATATGCAATTGTTATATCTTCTTCTGGGATTGATCCAATGATGATTATGCAGCATCCCACTGTATCTTTAACAGTCTCTATTTTAGAGTCTATTTTTTTCCCCATTTATTTTTTTATTAGTTGGAGGCTAATTACTTTACAATATTGTAGTGGTTTTTCTCATACATTGACATGAATCAGCCATGGATTTACATGTATTCCCCATCCCGGTCCCCCCTCCCACCTCCCTCTCCACCCGATCCCTCTGGGTCTTCCCAGTGCACCAGGCCCGAGCACTTGTCTCATGCACCCAACCTGGGCTGGTGATCTGTTTCACCCTAGATAATATACATGTTTCAATGCTGTTCTCTTGAAACATCCCACCCTCGCCTTCTCCCAGAGTCCACAAGTCTGTTCTATACATCTGAGTCTCTTTTTCTGTTTTGCATATAGGGTTATCGTTACCATCTTTCTAAATTCCATATATATGTGTTAGTATACTGTAATGGTCTTTATCTTTCTGGCTTACTTCGCTCTGTATAATGGGCTCCAGTTTCATCCATCTCATTAGAACTGATTCAAATGAATTCTTTTTAATGGCTGAGTAATATTCCATGGTGTATATGTACCACAGCTTCCTCATCCATTCGTCTGCTGATGGGCATCTAGGTTGCTTCCATGTCCTGGCTATTATAAACAGTGCTGCGATGAACATTGGGGTGCACGTGTCTCTTTCAGATCTGGTTTCCTTGGTGTGTATGCCCAGAAGTGGGATTGCTGGGTCATATGGCAGTTCTATTTCCAGCTTTTTAAGAAATCTCCACACTGTTTTCCATAGTGGCTGTACTAATTTGCATTCCCACCAACAGTGTAAGAGGGTTCCCTTTTCTCCACACCCTCTCCAGCATTTATTGCTTGTAGACTTTTGGATAGCAGCCATCCTGACTGGCGTGTAATGGTACCTCATTGTGGTTTTGATTTGCATTTCTCTGATAATGAGTGATGTTGAGCATCTTTTCATGTGTTTGTTAGCCATCTGTATGTCTTCCTTGGAGAAATGTCTGTTTAGTTCTTTGGCCCATTTTTTGATTGGGTCATTTATTTTTCTGGAGTTGAGCTGGAGGAGTTGCTTGTATATTTTTGAGATTAATCCTTTGTCTGTTGCTTCGTTTGCTATTATTTTCTCCCAATCTGAGGGCTGTCTTTTCACCTTGCTTATAGTTTCCTTTGTTGTGCAAAAGCTTTTAAGTTTCATTAGGTCCCATTTGTTTATTTTTGCTTTTATTTCCAATATTCTGGGAGGTGGGTCATAGAGGATCCTGCTGTGATTTATGTCGGAGAGTGTTTTGCCTATTCAACAGGATTTTTTTTAAGTTTGCTTTGCTTTTAATTTCAAGTAAATTTCCAATATCCTATCTTGTGCTCATATCTTCTCATAATTGCTGGTTTTGAGATCATATTTTGTGTGTGGATGATTTTCTTACCTTTACTGTGTGTTTGCCTTTACTGATGAGCTTTCCCATCCATAATGTTCTGTTGCTAACTGGGGCTTCTTCTTTCCTGCCTGGAGAAGTTCCTTTAGCACTTGTTGTAAACCTCATTGAATGGTGCTGAATTCTGTTAGTTTTTGCTTATCTGTAAAGCTTTTTATTTTTCTGTTAAATCCAAATGACAGCCTTGTTGGGCAGAGTATTCTTGGTTTGTAGGTTTTTCTCTTTTATCATTTTAAATATATTTTGTCACTTCCTTCTGACCTGCAGAGTTTTGCTGAGAAAAACAGATAACATTATGGGGATTCCCTTGTATGTTATCTGTTGCTTTTCCTTGTTACTTTTAATATTTTCTCATTGTCTTTAATTTTGACAGTTTCGTTGCTCTGTGTCTTGGCATGTTCCTCCTTGGATTTATTCTGCCTGGGACTTTGAATTTCCTGAATTTGGGTGACTGTTTCCTTTCCCATGTAAGGGAACTTTTCATCTATTATCTCTTCAAATATTTTCCCATGCTCTTTCTCTCTTTTCCTTCTGGGACTTCTGTAATGTGATTGTTGGTGTGTTTAATGTTGTTCCAGGGTTCTCTTAAACTATCTTCATATCTTTTCATTCTTTTTTCTTTATCCTATTGCACTGTACTGATTTCTATCATTCTTTCAGCTCACTTATCTGTTCCTCTCCCTCATTTATTCTGCTATTAATTCCTTCTGTTGTATTTTTATTTCAGTTATTGTGTTGTTCATCTCTGTTTGTATGTTATAATGATAGTGAAGTTGCTCAGTTGTGTCCGACTCTTTGTGACCCTGTGAACTGTAGCCCATTAGGCTCCTCCGTCCATGGGATTCTCCAGGCAAGAATACTGGAGTGGGTTGCCATTTCCTTCTCCAGGGGATCTTCCTGACTCTGAGATCGAACCTGGTTCTCTTGCATTGCACGCAGACGCTGTAACCTCTGAGCCACCAGGGAAGTCCTTTTATATGTTAGATATTCTAACTTTTTGTTAAACATTTCTTGTATCTTTTCAGTCTGTGCCTCCATTCTTTCTCTGAGATCTTGAATCATCTTTACTATTCATTTACACTGAATTATTTTTTGGGTAGATTACCTATTGCCACATCACTTAGTTGTTCTTTTGGAGTTTTATCTTGTTCCTTCACCTGGAACACATTCCTCTGTCTTCTCATTTTGTCTAGTTTTACGGGATTGCCGTTTCCCTTCCTCAAGCTGAAGGGTTGTAGCTCCTCATGCTTATGGTGTCTGCCTCTTGGTGGATGAGACTGGACTAAGAAGCTTATGCATGCTTCCTTGTTGGAAGGACTAGCTCCTGCTCATTGATAGGTAAAATTGAGTCTTGTTCCTCTGGTAGACAGGACCATGTCAAGAGGTGTATTTGACAGGCAGCTGTGAGATCAGAAAAATTTGAGGCAGCCTGTCTGCTAATGCTTGGCACTGTGTTCCCACCCTGTTGGTTCACTGGCCTGGTGTGTCCCAACCCGGGGGCCTCTAAGCTATTGGGTAGAGCCGGGTCTTGGTGAGAACATGGCAGCCTCCAAGAGGTCTCATGCTAATGAGTACTCCCCAGAACCACTGTCACCATTGTCTCTGTCCCCACAGAGAGCCAAAGCCACCCCTCACCTCCTCAAGAGCCTCTAAGACCAGCAAGTAGGTCTCACCCAGCCTCCTATGAAGTCTCTGCTTTTTCTTTGAGATGCAGTGCATATGAGACCCTGTGTGTGCCCTCCAAGAGAGGAAATCTTCCACTTCCCTCAGTCCTGTGGAGTTCCTATGATCAAGCCCTCCTGGCCTTCAAAGTCAATACTCTGGAGGTGCCTCCTTTTAGTGCCAGACCCGCAGACTGTGGGGCTAATATGGGGCTCAGAACTCTCTCCTGTGGAAGAACTTTTGTGATATATCTGGAGTTTGTAAGTTGCCTGCCTAGCAAGCATGGGATTTGAGTTGCAATTGTACCCCTCCCATGATTTTGTTTTGGCTTCTTCTTTGGCTTTGATTGTAGAATATCTTTTTCATTAGGTTTCAGTCCTTTTTGTCAGTGGTTGTTCAGCAGTTGTGGTGTTTTCATGAGAGTAATTGAGCTTATGTCCTTCTACTCCATCGTCTTGTATCAGTCAACAGATGTTATTTTCAGAGATTCTCTTTTCTTCCACAGCTCTCCCAGGAGTCATAAATTGAGTCTGAGAAAGCCAATTCTTTATATTGCTTACATGAAATATGTATTTGGTCAGTTAAAATAAGGCAGAATGGAGGAAACTCATTGACTGACAGCATTTATCCAAAGATGAAACATCAAAATAGTGACAAATGGTGGTAAGCATGATTCTTCAGTTTTAGATGCTCATCATTTTAACAACATCCAGATGAAGAAATACATAGGCTATCATCTCAAACAAAGATGATCATGGAGTTTGGCAACCTGCACAATGCATACAGAAATTTTCTTTTTCTCCAACCTAGAATGTCTAAGCATACATGTTTAAAGACTATTTTGTACTGACACTTTATGAAATAAATTTATACAAATAACATGATTTGTTTTGTAGTGCTACTAGTGGAATTCATTCTGCAGGAATCTGTTTTGTCTTCATATCTTACAGTATTACCCTAATATCAAAAAGAAAAATGGATAATAAAAAAAGCACAACTTGGAAGTTTAATAGATCACATCTAATTTATCAGAGTGTAAGTTGTTTTATTTACCTCTTCAAGGAAGTGGTTGAGCTGGGTAAGAAAAGAACCCTCTCTCATTCTATGTATATAATATTTTTTTCATGGTCATATAGATCTTAACTTGAGTTCTAGGACTGTCAGGGGCCTTATAAATTGATTATTACTATAATATAATCATCCTACTTTTTATTTCCATTTTTTGATATTGTGTGTTGAAAAACTTTTTTAAAAAAAGAGGTTCATCGACTTCCCTAGGCTCCCAGAGATTGATTGCATGCACAAGGTTTCTAGCATATACTGATGACAAAATTATTTTAGACTGTCATGGAAGCAAGTTATTTATAAGTTTATTTTCTAAATAGAATCAACTAAGCAATTGTCTCATTTATCCAGGTGATGCAGTATTATTTTGTATTGTTCTAGCAGAATATTCAGAAAGCTACACCAGTAAGAATCCATCAGCTTTTAGTCACAATACTATTAATGGAATCTTTTCTGGAATTATCAGTTTTTTCTTAGGTGGATGGTTTCTGGTCAGCCTTTTCTGAGACTAGGCACCACACAAATTATTTGTTTGTTTTAGATTATTAGTGAAATAGTCTTAGACATGTATCCTTTATTTTAATGCCCAGTCTAAATCATGAAGTTATTACAGAGACAGTTGTTGATAGAATAACTTATCAGACTCAGGAATGGATCACATTTAACATGGATTTATGGTGTGGAAGTGTATGTTCCAGTGCAAAATTGATCCTGCCTATCTATTGTTCCCGTACATTTTTTTTTTAAGATTAAGTCATTTTAGGCCTCTAATAATAGGCAAACCTGTTGTTCTAGGGCTAACTCATTATTTAACATCATTATTTAATAATAGAGCAGTTTATCTGATTAGCCCTTGTCTTTTAGAAAATTTTTTTTTCAAACCATGGACCATGACTTATTTTTTGTTATAAAATCAATTTAATGGGCAATAACTAGCGTTTCTTTTCAGATTAGACCATCAGATTCAAAATATGAATTAAAGATAAATATTGTTTTGTGAAAAGTTGTTTTATATCTGTATATATCTGTGTGTAGGTAAGCGTTCAGGCTAGAGAGAGACAGAGAAATTTGTATGCATGTATGCGAAGTGCATTAAAATAGTTTCTTTTTTTTTTTAATGGCAGATAAATTAGTATGGAGTAAAGAAAAATTTTAAGCAAACAGAAAATTCATGGAATGAGAATGTAGGGATATTAGCAGCTAAAGATTGGCCAAAAAGATAGAGTATTCATAACAATAGTAATAAATATTATTATAGGGTTTCCCAGGTAGTGTGATGGTAAAGTATCTGCCCTCCAATGCAGGAGATGCAAGAGATGTGGGTTCGATCCCTGGAATGGGAAGATCCCCCAGGGTAGGAAATGGCAGCCCACTCCAGTATTCTTGCCAGGAGAATTCCATGGACAGGGGAGCCTGGCAGGCTACTGTCCATAGGGTCGCAGAGTTGAACATAACTGAGCGACTAAGCACATACACACATTATTACTATACCAGATATTTTGAAGGTATTTATTTTGTGCCAGGTATACTATGCACCATGCCCTAAGAAATATCAAGTATAATAATAACCTTCCAAGGGTTAAGTCATTTAGTGTTCCCAATGATGCTTTGACAGATGTTGACTGCAGTCATGAAATTAAAATATGCTTGCTCCTTGAAAGAAAAGTTATGACCAACCTAGACAACATATTAAAAAGCAGAGACACTACTTTACTGACAAAGTTTCATATAGTCAAAGCTATGGTTTTTCCAGTAGTCATGTATGGATGTGAGAGCTGGACCACAAAGAAAGCTAAGCACTAAAGAATTGATGCTTTTGAACTGTGGTATTGGAGAAGACTCTTGAGAGTCCCTTGGACTGTAAGGAGATCCAACTAGTCAGTGCTAAAGAAATCAGTCCTAGGTGTTCATTGGAAGGACTGATGCTGAAGCTGGAACCCTAATCCTTTGGCCACCTGATGTGAAGAAATGACTCATTGGAAAAGACCCTGATGCTGGGGAAGATTGAAAGCAGGAGAGGAAGGGGCCGACAGAGGATGAGATGGTTGGATGGTATCACCGACTCGATAGACATGAATTTGAGCGAGCTCTGGGGGCTGGTGATGGGCAAGTGAGCCTGGCATGCTGCAGTCCATGGGGTCACAAAGAGTCGGACACAATTGAGTCATTGAACTGAACTGAATGATGCATATATAGTCTTACTGTTACCATTTTCCTGTTGAGAGAGTGAAGATATAGATATGCTTAATAATGTGATCAAAATTCTTCAGCTTAGTGAGTGGCTAAGGTGGGATTCAAACATCCAACCATGAAGCTTATGCTCTTAAACACTACAATAAATTACTTCCCATGTTAAATTGGATTGAAACATAAAAGAAATTAAAATTGCCTGCTTCAAATTTATTTTTAGCAAGGACTGCATGCAACAGTATCCTCTCTAAAGTGAGTTTTCAGACAATGAGCTGGCATACAGAATCAGGGCATTCAGTACCTAACCCATTCAGTGTTGTAAATGAGTTTTTTTGTAGAAGGCTTTAAAACTGTCTACAGGTTAATGAGCTTGATACAATAGACTTGTAGGCATATAAAAGAACAGTACTGGCTGACTAGAGAGCAGTAAATTTAGCTCCTCTCAAGTTGACATGTTGTACAACTCAGATTTCCCAATGCATTGAATTTTAAAATGACAATAAGATTTAGGGACATTTACTCAAATGCTTTTAACTTTCTTTCCAAAGGCCCCAAGCTCATTAGAAATACAAATGAAACTACAATCTTACCAACTTCAAGCAGCTGAAGAAGTCTGCTGCTGATGCAGCAACCTGAAATGAAGAGAAAGTGATTCATTTGATATTTTCCTTGACATACACACAGTACACATTATGCTTCTGTCAACTTTAATGCAATTATCCCTCAGGGATCTCTAACAATCAGCCAAGTCAGGCCAAGGTGAAGTGGCTGGAAGTTTTCCGAGCTGATTTCTTCAGCCTCGGGGGAGCTGATCTTGTCCATCTCTTTGACATGTGCTCTCTGCATATCAGATAGCGCTGTTGATCACATCAAAGCATTCATGAATTCAGTGATTTTTTTTTTTCCTTCACCAAATATTCTGTTCTTTTTAGACCTTTGTCAGTGGTGTCACAGCTGAGTGAGCAATCCCTGGCTTCCTGAAGTTCCCTTGAGGGCTAAACTGTCAACATCTATGTTCATCATTGAAACCTTCAATTTAAGAAAAATAATTTTATTTTAATCATGATTTTATATGGAAAATGGAGGCTCTTTATATCTTTTAGTTGTCTAAATTTGTTCCCTTATGAGTTTAGTTAATTTAATTTTAATTTAATTTAAATGACATTTTCCTCTTGTTTTATTCCCTTCCCTCTTTCTTCCCTTCCCTTCTTCCTACTCTTCTTGTTTCTTTCCTACCTTCCTTCCTACTTCCTCATTCTTATTTTAATTGTTTCTGTCAACATTAATTGAAGTGCTGCTATGTGCCACACATTATGGATGTGACTATAGTTGCAAATGTCCTTGCCTGTGAAGGATTCACAATGACCTCTTGCTCTTCATTCTTATTCACAAAATAAGCAGCTTCCTTCATTCATTCATGGGCTTCCCTGATAGCTCAGTCAGTAAAGAATCCACCTGCAATTCAGGAGGCCCTGGTTCAATCCCTGGGTTGGGAAGATCCACTGGAGAAGAGATAGCCTACCCACTCCAGTATTCTTGGGCTTCCCCTGGAGGTTCAGCTGGTAAAGAATTCACCTTCAGTGCAGGAGACCTGGATTCAATCCTTGAGTTGGGAAGATCCCCTGGAGAAGGGAAAGGCTACCCACTCCAGTACTCTGGCCTGGAGAATCCCATGGACTGTATAGTCCATGGGGTCACACAGTATCTGACGCACTGAGTGACTTTCACTTTCACTTTCCTTTATCCATTGCTTTTCCCAAAATCACTTCTCTGTCCTCTCCATGTGCTTAGCTGATTTATGCCAAAGTTCTGGGTGTGCCTAGTTGGGTTTGTCCTGCTTCACATGCCTGGAAATGACAGTTAGCTAGATTATAACTTGGATTTTGCTTTAGAGGAATGGAAATAGAACTAGGTTTAACGGAAGATGTGGCAAAGAAAGGGGGAAGGGACTTTGAATTTAGTCTTGCAGGATGATGTTGGGGAGGCAGAATTTCTACTCTTTAACCTGGTGTGGTCCCTCATGGACTACCCAATTGCTTGAGATCATAAGTGTCGTAGTAGGAGTAAAAACTTTAGGTGTATATTGTAGAAATTTATTGAATACATATAATTGGTTGTATTTCCCTTTTTCATACTTTACTCCATTTCATTCTCTATATTGTCATTAAAAATCACCTTTTTAACATACAAATCAGATTTTATTGCTTTACTACTTAAAACCTTCTGTGGCATCTGATTACCTAAATGCAAAAGTTTACCAACTTTATGTGTTAGACCACTTATATTGTGATCCCTGCAATCTCTCTAGTCTTCTGTCTTGTTCATCTCTCTTGTTTTTTTGACCACATGCATTCTGTTCAGAATATATGAATTTACTTTTAATTCCCTGAAGGTTCCATGTGATTTCATACTTTTGTTCCTCTATATACCTGTCTTCTCTATCTGGAATTTTCTCTTTCCCCTCCATTATTCATCAACCTGAGAAAGCCCATCCATTCATCAAAGTCATAACCTGGCATCATCTCCTTTAAAGATTTTTCTTGAATTTCCAAATTAGAATTAATCACTGATTTT